GAAGTCGGACGCTTAACCGACTGCACCACCCAGGCGCTCCTCGTTTCTAGCACTCTTTACACAAGACGAAGGGGGGGGCAGTAACAGGGAACCGGGTCACGTGATGACGTGAAGAGAGGGGGTGACAGACCCCCAACCTCTGGGGTGCCGAAGACCGAAATCGCCAAGTTTGGACTACATTTCGTTTGTGTGTCCTCCCCGGAGTCTCATTCCAATACTAGTAAACTAGATCCCTCACATGTGCTGCCGCTTTAGAAAGCACGTCTGGGGGGCTCAGTCGGTTAAGCGTCTGACTTCAGCTCAGGTCACGATCTTGTGGTTCGTGGGTTCGAGCCCCGCGTCGGGCTCGCTGCTGTCAGAGCAGAGCCCGCTTGGGATCCTCTGTTCCCCTCGGTCTCTGCCCCTCCCCACTTGTGCGCTCTCTCTCTCTCTCTCAAAAACAAATAAACATAAAAAAAGGAAGAATTTAACTCTTATGGGGACAGGGCACGGGGTGACAGTGGTGGGGCAGGCAAGCTAACATGTCCTGAGTGCTCCCCATAAACCAGGCCACCTTGTATACGTGACAGCACTTAATTCCTGCAACGGATTCCTTGAGGTAGGTATTATTAGTCCCATTTTTCAGGTGAAGAGATCAAGATCGAGGCGATGCAGATCTGTGGAGAATGCGTTATAAAGCTCTTTCCCGCTGCAAGCCCCAGGAAGCGTGCTGGGCTGACGACTCGGGCATTAGTCACCGGGTCATTTGGAAGCCGCCACATCGGGCAGTCCCCCTGCATTCACCTTTCCCAGTCAGCTGGAGTCCCTTCTGCATGGCTGTTGAAGATCTGGGACTCAGTTTACCCGCAGAGCTAACAAAGAACAACTGGACGGTGGAGGGGAAGGTGGCGTTAGTCTCTGGACAGCCAGGGTCTGAGGACGTGGCGGGCATACCGTTGGAGGCGGGGAGGGAGGCTGTGGCTCTGACCCAGAGATGGCTAGGTCACCTCCAGAAGGCAGCCTTCCGCGTGGGATGCTGTGGGCACCAGGCACAGCTGTTTTCTCTACAGGAAGGATATCATACCCTTCTAAAGAATCCTACCAGCTACTCCGTGACCTCTCCGTGGCTCTAAACGACCTGTGGACCCCCAGCCAGTCACACTCCATCAGGGGCAGGGACGAGTCTGTTCGCATCATCCGATGTGAGCTAAAAAACAAATCCAGGAGATTGACTCCGTTTCAAAATGTAAGGACGTGTTCATCAGCGCAGGGAGACAGTGCGGGAGACAGAATATTCTCCCCGAGTACATCCAACCCCCCCAGTCCTTGGAGCCCGTTAGGTTACATGTCAAATGGGATTTTTTTTTTTAACTTTTTTTTCAATGTTTATTTATTTTTTTTGGGACAGAGAGAGACAGAGCATGAACGGGGGAGGGTCAGAGAGAGAGGGAGACACAGAATCGGAAACAGGCTCCAGGCTCCGAGCCATCAGCCCAGAGCCTGACGCGGGGCTCGAACTCACGGACCGCGA